GAAAATGCCGCTCCTCAATGCCGGCGTTTCGTTTGTCTGGCCACTACCATATGTACTCGAGTGTACCCTCCAGTACTGCCAGAGGTAAACAGTTAGGTATGTACGAGTATGTTTTGGGATGATTCGATATCGCTGTAGAATAAATTTCTCATTCATCCGCCTCCTTCTTCAAGTTTCCTATTATTTGACAACCAAATGCAACAAAATGTCACACACCTTATTGCCCTTTTACAAATGGCTTTAAATAATCTCTGTTCATATACGGTTCAAAACTGATTAAGGACTGACTAAAAATTTGTTTAATTTCAAGCAGTCAGTTTTAATGTTAGCTTGCTCCCTAAATAATTCGAAAGTGGGTTAGATATTATTGATATGATATGAATGATATTATGGCTGGTGCAAAAATAGAAGTATCGGCGATGGTTAATTCGGTAACATTTTCCTTTAAAATTAGGTAATTGAAGCAATTCCAATATGACTAACCCACGACTAGTGTTACGTCCTTTGCGGTTCATTGCATATCATTGATCTTTATACTCTGTACCTAAAAGGGACAAGAATGTTTGCGGGAAGTGAAAAATGTAACAGGTATATATATTATTGATCAGCATGACAAGTTGAACCGATCCAGAACTCTCTGTCCTTATGAACACCTAGATCGCAAAGACTTTAAGCTATAACACCAACTTTTGTACACAGATGTCTTATATGTGAGCGCAGTATGAGTTTGTTTTATTTTTTATTAATCAATCACCTATATCTCGGATACTAGAAGAGTCAGAGACACACAATTTTAGTCCAAGATGCCTTATACTGTGAGTAGAACAAGTGTATTTGTGAATTCTTCCCCCACTATCTGTATTCTCTATCCAAGCTCTGCCCGCAGCTGTTGTTGTTGCTGTTGCTTTGGCTCAACTATGCACTGAGCACATGCACAGGCACGTACAGATAAAGGTACAGAGTATTCCAAAGTCGGGGCACCCGACTTTAGTTTCCCACTCGTTAGGGTTATTCATGATGTTACAAAAAAGGCGCACGGCATATAATTCAGACAGAACACATAGTAATAATAATAATATGGTTATCAGCGTGCAATAAAATGCGTTACTATCGTGCGAATAAAGAGGCACACACCCACCAACGCGATCCGCAGCCCGGCCACGCACTTGAAACACACACATCGCAGCAAAACAAAAACCGTAATAGTGGCAATAAAATTGTTGTTTTTGCGATTTATTATTAGAGTGCATTTGGGTTGCCCAATGGCGCAGTTGGGTATCGCCCCCCCAGGCCTCTCCTACCGCGAAATGTAGTCGCAATTGTGTTCAGACGTATTTCGGCCATTATATTATCGGGTGTTACTTTTATTGATTGTGCCGCTGAGCTATTCGACTCTTCTGCTCTGCCGTATTCCCTACACACATCCGCATGTACTATACTTAAGTACTTGTATGTATGTATGCATATGTACATTTTAAGGCTAAGCTTGATTGAGCGCGACTGCCAGTGCTAGTAGCGTCCATATTAGATTGCTTTTCACATTTTGTGGCTGACATGGGTACGGGTACGGGTACAAATTAAATAAGGCCATTCATGTGAATGTACATATGTGCATATATGTACAAGTATATTTGTACACAAGGGATTATAAACATATACATAGGTGTGTGTTTGTCTATTTGGATGTTTGTTTGTTGATTCTGCGTTTCATTTAACGCTCACGCATTCAAACAATTAGCCAACCGCATGGGCCATTTAATAGTATACAACGATAGGCATACATTTCTCTTAACGACAACTAAAGATATGCTCCATACCTACCTATAGTCCACATATTTTGATACACTCACAAAAAAATAACAAATCGCATAGGACATATGAATACTTCCATTGTTCAAATATTTTACGTTAAAAGCTAACAATGTACATATATTTAACTTAACACATAAACAAAAACAACAAATATTCAAAACATAGCGTAAACATATAGTAATGTCAATCAGATGAGTCGCATTCAATTTATTTGAGCCATATTTAGTTGTGATACTATATATATTTACTGACTTCAACATACAATTGGCTGAATTGCTTTAGGTCTACAGAACATATTAATATTTTTCTGAACTTAATATTTGCAATAACTAATTCGAATACTTTCAAATGTAAAATAGAGACAAAAAGTGCAAGTAGTCGTATGTGTCAGGTATGGGTTATCCATCATTTTTATACCCCGTACCCGAAGGGTAAAAGTAGTATATTAGGCAAAAGGAAGCATACCAACCACAATTTCAAAGCTACTTAGTCTGAGCATTGCATACTAAATAATACATAATAATCTATCGCTATTTTAAATTTCAAAAGAATCGGTAAATTCTGAGAAAAGTTATTAGTGAAACAAATTTTCCGGTACTCTGCCCACAAGCTGCGTCATCGAGTTAGATCTTTTTATACCCTGTACGCAAAGGATAAAAATGTATATGTATTAGGTTTGTTCCTAGCATGTATTGGGGAGAAGGAAGCTTATCGGACCCCCTGAGCCCACAATGACCAAACTTATTTTTATCATTTTATTTTATTTTTCTGATTTCCGGATCGATGGCAAAAATATTGAAATTTATGTGTGTTGTATTTTTGAGTGTATGCAACATATTCACCTGAATAGAGAACGAGCCCCACACAACGCCAGCTGTTATTCGACGCTTTAAGCTGATAAATATGCCATTCATTATAGACGTCAGGCCCATCAAACTGTAATTGCCACCTTTCATTTGCATTGGACATTAGCACAGCTCAGATTAGTGCAGTTTATTGTTATGCCTGTATTCAACTCAATGTTTAATGTTTTAATTCAATTTGCTCATTTAATTACGTTCAGATTAGGTTTGGTCAGGGATTTTAGTGCTGCAATACTAAGTATAACCAAATATATAAATTTTCTGTGACAAAATTTAAAGGGTATAAAACCTGTATATGTATATTAAGCTAGTGTATCCGGTTTGCGTTTCTGCGCCACTTAATCGTGGTGCTTTTTAAGCTTTCCGACGTCACATCTTTCCCAATACCTCCTTTGCTTTTCTTGACTTCGATTAGGTCTTTTGCATGAAAAGTGCGAATATGCGCTTTTCTTTTAATTTAACCGAGAAATTAATATTAATAAATATTAAATATGCTTTTGGTGCTTTGTATGCAAAGCGTGGTTTTGTTCACCAGAAGATGCTTTTGGCATGCTTGGTGGCATTTTTTTTTGGAATGCGATTTTACAATTTCATTTATTCATGAACAGAGTAAAAAGTGACTTTGAAAAAAAATGAGCAGAAACAAACCCGAAAACGGTGGTTGATCGCTTTGAACAATCGCCACGAAACTTCACAGGATTATCCACGGGTCTATATTAAATATTGCCACCAAATTTTATCAAAATCGAACATAGAGAAATACATACCTACATACTATATGTAGATTAAATAATGCAGGATGTGTTAAAATAATAATGTATGCATATGATCCACAGAAAAACTTCAACAAATCCAACCCAGTTCCATTTCTAAAGGGCAACGGAACCAATATACAGAACCCCACAGTCGACTATATACAAAACAGAGTTCAGAGTCGCAGTCTATTTTACATTTAAAACTTTTAAATTAAGAGCATTTAAATTAGTTATAAAAAATATTTGTTTTATTCTATTAATTATTTGATGGAATGTGACACAGTCTCTTTAATGACATGTATTTTCTCCTTGTTGTGCCATTGAGTTTAATAATATAATACATAGTATGTAATATGGCATTTTTGAGTGTAAACATTAGAAGTAGAATGGGGTGTAAAACTGTTTTTCAGACGAATGTTGTCCATTTGATTTGCCAAAGCTATAATATGTATTTTAAATGTCCTGACATTTCCCCAAGAGGACAACAATTCTGAGAACCATCGCAATGTGACAACAAAAATCTCATAAAAATGTATTAGCTGCGTGGGCTGAGCGCAAACAAATACACACCCACACACAATTACATATATAAACATCATGAGCATTCACATATACGTGTATACTCACATACACATGCACACAGAATATGGGAAACTTTAGCGTCGACCGAAGCTCACTCATCGGAGAAACTTTTCCCTTGTGCCTGACTGCAACTTTTGCCTTCCGCCTGCTACTCGATGGCGGTGCACGTCAAAACTCTTTGGCGCTACATCAACTTGAACATCAAAAGCTGTCGCATTTTCACGGCTGTGGCGACGGTGCAGGTGTTATCACCGATACCATTGAGGATTGTTTCCTTTGTATCGACAAGCAGGCTTGACGTTAGCTCCCGTCTGCAATGCTCTGCAAATGGAGTGACTTTTGCCAATTGAAACGTGGCTTGAACGCAAAGAACAGCTGCATTCTATAACAATCGTCTATCTGGCCTTCTCCAGACTGTCTTTCTTGCTTACTTTCCTTCCTTGGCCACCTCGCCCCGCCTTTCCTCTTTCTTTTTAATTTGTCACTTGAAGTTGTTGCCAAAGTTTCGAAAGCGCCAGACATCGTTGACGATGCGACGCGTCGCGTCGCTACTTTTTGGCAACTTTAATTAAAGTCGAGTGTCGAAATTGAAACAGCAAACGCCCAGATGACATCGACGACGATAAATGGAGCAAGTGGGGCTTGAGGGTGGAATTTCGGCTCATTTCAGCATTAAAGAGCACTGTTCTCGCATGACGCAATGACGCATACGCCATGTTGGTCTGAGTGAAGGCAAAGCTGCCAGCCAGATTGTAAATTAACCTAAATCACGTGTAAGCCGCTTGTCATACATTGTTCTTACGCTTCATTAAAACATATAAAAAGAAGAGGCCTAGGTACCATACACCACATACATACACATACAGACATATGCGAGTATATGTATATAGTATGTGCAGGCAGGCACATGTCCCCATCATTTATAGATGTACATACATACTTACATAAGTACGCAAAGTAACATATAATCTACGCCTCCCTCTTCCAGATGATGTCCTCTTCTCACGCCGCGGCCGCATGGGGCGCATTGTGAGTCCGCGTCACACGCTTCCGCCGAACACAACATGCACGTACCACTTTCACGGATATCCTGGTGACCTGATTTGGTTATCGTTCACCAGCTACAATCTGCAGATACTGCAGCAGGCGATACACGACAACAATACTCTGGGCCGGGTGAGTAAAGTGTTCCACATAGTGTCGAGGAATGGGGGAGTGAGTGTGTTGTCACCATTTCCATAAATGCATATAATTTATGCCTTTCCATCGTGTGGGTGTTTGTATGTATCTGCAAGTGAAAGACTTGTTTGCATTGTTTTTTAAGCGCGCTGCGTCTACGCCACCGGCGACATCTTTTGTTTTCCACGCACACATAAAGACACCAGCCATGTGTGCTCTCACCAATTAAGAAAATGCAGGCATGTATAGGAGTATGCACGAGTATATGTCATAAATGACATCAACAAACAAAATACAATTTATAATTAAGTGAAATGAAGCAAACGACTTCCAGTGCTGTTTTCAAAATGTTAAGGCTCGCTCGGAGCCTCTCGCTGGCTACCCCAGCTGGTAAAATTGGACACAAACACTGCGTCAGAATGAGTGACAGTACCAACAACAAACAAAACAACTAGCACCCCCCACCAGTAAGTGAACTGCATTTTTAAGTACGCCTCTGCCGAGTGTGCTGAGAATTGTGTCAAGGTACCCCGGCGTATAGAACATCACTCTGAGTAGACGGACCCAAGAGATAAGGTAGGGGTGGAAAATTTGCGCTGAATAACTGCTCTGTACGAGCAATGTCAATTAGAATGAACTAGCAATACAGTAATACCTATCAGGCTCAGTCAAATATATACAAATACTATACTAATTAAGTAAAAACAACTGCTAACTTCGAATGAAAACTAACTAACTTCTTCTCTAGTTCTGCAAAATTGAAAAAATACTTCCAGAACCTAATTTAGTTCATTTACATTTAGTTCATTTACATAACAAAGAAAGTATTCCTTAGCGGGATCCTAAGATCCCAGCCTTATAATTGATGAGCACTCATTCAAAAATATAAAAAACAATTTTGTATTCGGTTCACTAGCCCGTGTCTGCTGGCGTTGGTTGCTTTTTTTTCTTTTACACAAAGGCTGCAAAATGTATTTTAGATTTGTGAAAATGAATGAAAAGATAGAATATATTATGTTTGTGTAAATATAAATATGTAAGCGCAGAATGGAGGATTTCTGAACCAATAAAAATTATAGATTATTGACAAGAGAAATTCATCAAGCCAAGCTTATTTTAACTTTTATTAAAAGTTTGTTAATTTTAAAAAATGTTATTTGTGAATCTCTTACCTCAGTACAGTCGATTCGAAATGTAGGTTATGGAAAGTAGGTTCTGGAGCAGATGAAGTAACGTAGGTACTATTTATTTACATTTGAGAGAGATCAAGGTAAAATTAGTTTACATTTTGTCATATTTCATATTTGAGAGAGAAATAGAGAGATAGCACACACTTGTATATGTATGTTTTGGAACAGATTTTGAGGTCATTTGAAGATTATATTATTGTATTATATATATGTACTTCCAAAACACACATACATATATCTCTCTCTCTCTCCCAAACCAACAAAGAACTAGGAGAGATAATAATAATATATAAAGTCGCAAGAGCCTGACTCTCTCCAACAGCCCCCTTTTGTTGGAACAATCATTTTTTCAACAAAAGACTGACGGACTAACAAACAGACTAACGAAGACGATTACTCGAAGGATTTAACATTTGAAAGGATTTTTTTGCAGACGCAAACATTTATTCGATGTTGTTGCTGATTAATACCCGTTTGTGATTACTCTTCTTACATACACTTCTTATATATTTGTAATATTAATGCGTAGAAGCTTAAGATACTCCCAGGCTATTAACTTCCAATATTTATCCTATATGAAATTTTAACTTAAATCAGATGGGCATCTCCCATTATATTATTATATTTGGGGTGGACAAGAGCTTCAGAGCGAGGGCAGCCACTAGAACCACTCAGGCTTATAAAATTTGCCTTGGAATCCATTTATATTAGTGTCCACTTTCCCGGAAATCTGTTCCTTCGAGACCTGCACCCTCGTACATAAGTCATAGAGTGATTATTCCAAAAACAACGCCATCGTTCAGTCAACCATGTTACCGTTACTGCTCGAGCGATCTCATAAATGTCGTCGCGTTGTTATTTTGAACGTTTTTATATCACAGCTATACTCTATTCTCCCTCATTCAAAACCCACTCTTCTATGTGTGTGTTGGTTTTTTTGTTCAGAGTTTCAACTTTGCTTCTTAATTTAAAAAGTTTGTTTTCCTTTTTTTTGTAAATTCCTTCGACTTTGTTTTTTGTTTTGAGCTTTCGTTGTTGTTGCTTTGTAATTCCCTCCAATGCCCAACGCCCCGCCACACCGAAGTGTTACTTCTGTTATGTTGATTGTTGATGTTCCTGCTGCTGTGTAGTTGTTGTTTCTCTACCTGTTCCGACTGCTGTTACAAAATTCATGAACTGTTTTTTGTGATGCCGCTCATGTTTTATTTTCCTTAAAAATATAGGTATGTGCAGATGTGTATGTGTATGAATGTGTGAATGTATGTACGTGTACGACTGTCTCCCTGTTCTGTCACTTTTTATTGTGAGCGGGTGTTGCAAAGTTCCTCGTTTTCTGTTTTATTTTATAGTATACTTGTATTTGTGCTTCTGGCAGCGATTCGTTTTAGCAATTTAAAATGTTCCGTGGGTGGGAAAGCTGCAATTGACACGACCGGCCAGCATATCAGCATAGACAAACAATTCGAGGGATTGGATGGCATGGGCGGGGGGGCCAAGCCACAAATAGAGAAACAAAATCAGTGCGCCTTCCCACTATAGGTCTTCTGCAAAGTGTTTCTAATTTATTTGTTTTCCAAACTTCTACCGAAAAATTTCAAGTGTCTGAAAATTCTTTTCAGAATTTTCTGTCTAGACATCCAATGACCTTGCGAAAGTTTTGATAATTTATGCATCGCGACACACGTGTCAGCGATATCTCCTGCTATACGTATACATGTATATCAATCAGCCAATCAGTCTTTTATTTCATTTGAACTCCCAGTAACGGGTCTCAGCTGCCGTTGGTGTCACTCAGTTATTTGCACAGTCAACAATAATCACTGCCTCGACAAAAAACAACATTCGCACAAGGCGCTGGAGTTAAAATATTTAACGCCTGCAAACAGCAACAACAGTGGCAGCAAAAAACAAATATCTCACGCATGGAACTGACTCAGCCAGCAGCAGACGCAGATTCACATTCAGGCGAAGCTTCATGGACACTGTTAGAATGTTACAAATATGACAAATGAGAAGTCCGACACTTCACAGGACTGAGCGCCACATTCCGAGGCGACAGCATGGCAAACAGCGTAAAATGTCAACTAACAATAATAGCGACAAAAACAACTGACGGATGGTAAAACAAAGAATAAATTGGGAGTAGTACTCGTAAAGTGACAATTGGATAAATACAACATCACATAAATACAATAAATAAAACTGCAAGCTTCGGTGACTGATTTCGCTTCCAGAACCCAAACGCAAAATTTAAATTGGAAAATGTCCATAAAGACATGCATATATTGACTCCATTGACTGAATTGTATGGTGGGTTAAAATGGTTAAAATTTAAAATAAAATACCGCCAAAATGACCGCGATTTTACTCTAAAGTTATATCGAAATTGTATTTATGACGAGAATGGGTTTATTGTAATTATAAATTGAATATAGCAGTGTACTTTTCCAATATATTTTTCGTGGCCATTAAGATACGAACAACTTCCTATCTACAACTAACATAAACCACACTTTTATTGAAGCCTAGATTGCCTAACTACTCCGGCAAATCTCTGCCTTTGGAATGTCTAGAAAACAAAAAAAGTGTTGTTCTCTATTTACAAGATTTTAAGCAATTACTGGTATACCGATTTAAAAATAAATAATGAAATCGATATGCGGTAAAATTTCTTGGTTACGACACATTACTAGAATTGAATGAATGGAAGACAAACATATGTATTTTGAACTATGATGCTTCTCTATTAATATTTTTTTGCATCGGATTTACTTATAAAATGTTCACTGTAGGCTTGTCTGTTTGCAGGCGACAAACATAAAAAGAATGTCAACAAGAAAATTAAACAATAACATATGTTCCCCTGTCTTTCCGTTTTTGTGTGTCATTGCAGAGCGACTTGCCGCCTTGGATAACGCGCCTACGTATGTGGGACAGTTATGGCACATATCTACCCATAAAGTCCACCAGCGCCACCACAGGACAACCACCGCCGCCTCCTCCGGTTGCTTCTTCGGCGGACGGCGGAAAGCCCACAGTTCTAAATCAGAGCAATTATGGCACCTACTACTACAGTCCGAGTAATCCGAAACTGAGCAAAAACCTGCGAGTTAACATAGACAATGCGTGGAATCCGGTGGACACTTATATCTACGGACCCACACAGTCAAGCGTATTTAATCAGGAGAATAAGTACAGTGGCTATCAACAGGGCGGTTCCCAAGCAAGCGGTGGCTCCTCGCCGAGTGGCAAGCAGTTGAGCGCCTTCAAGGACAGCCTCAACTATATATCTAGCAGCAAGTCGAGCAAGGAAGCCGGTGGTGGTGGTGGATCCACGGCTGCCGTAGTCAGCGCTGATAAGAGCGCCGTAGCCCTGATGAGCACCAAGGGCAAGCGACGTCTGATGCTGGAGATATATGACTATGAGACGCCAAAATTATGCGACCATACAGCAATTGGAAGCGGCGTAAGCGGAAGCAGCGCCCTAATGGGGGGCAACAAGTTGCGTCCGTGCAGCCTGCTGGAGAGTTATGTGAGCACAGGCAGAGACTTGGTAGGTAACAGTTTAAGTGCACGGAAACTCAATATGGCCAATGCCATAAAACGCTATTGATAAATTTTAAGGAGTACATCAATCCGTAAATGTTACGAGCTTACTGAATCTTTTCAAAACATGAAAGAAGTCACACAATTCGCAAAAAGCAGTATTATCGAAGTCCTTAAGTTTATTAGTTCAATTAAGCTTGTGTGGTTGTAGCTTTCTGCTATTTATAATTCTATGTAAATCATTATGATCCCAAATGCGTTATTAGTTTAAAAACACGAGAAGTACTTTGATGATTTTGTCCTGACTGAATGTCAATGTCATGATCAATGCACAGCCTAAATGGTTTGTGCTGCAGTATGGAGTGAAGTTCTCGACACGAGGTTTTTTTGAATATTTAAACTCCAGGAGCATTGGCTTTTTCGATATTTTACGGGTTGCATGAACTGACAAATTTGTAAGTAAAAAGAAAGTACGCCCTATCTTTCGGTCCCAAGCAAAATAATGCGCTTCTGGATAGTTCCTATATATACTCAAAATATATATAAGTACAATTGTGTGCAAAAAAATTAGTTCTGCAATGGCGGTCAAAACCTGCTCGTTTGCTCATATAGTACTACACCAATTATGTTTTAACACGTAAGATTGGTTCCAGAAAAAACCATGTAAATAAACCAAGTAAAAAAGTCATTGATCATATGCAAAAACAGGGGATTGGTTCCTTTTAATTTTTAAACCGTGTATTTTTTTTTTTTTTAATTATATACAGTTTATTAAACTAGTGTTCTGCCACCAATAAGGCAGCTTAATCTAGTTGAAAAATAATGGGGAATAAAAGAGTTGTCCGTAGTATGCAACTATAGGACACACTTACATCTATGTGTATACAATGGAATATTTACAATATTTTAGATTAAATATGAAATATATTTTATGATATTATATATTTTATATATATTTTAACCAAGGGATCTCGTGGGGAGATTCTTTGGATGGCACAAAAAAAACAGATTTTTTTTTTTACATATATACAATTTATTAAACTAGTTTTCTACTACCAATATGTCAGCTTAAGCTAGTTGAAAGTTAGGGAATACAAAAGTTGTCTATAGTAAGCATCTATAGGACGCACTTACATCTATGTGTATACAATGGAATATTTACAATATTTTAGATTAAATATGAAATATATTTTATGATATTATATATTTTATATATATTTTAACCAAGGGATCTCGTGGGGAGATTCTTTGGATGGCACAAAATTTTTTTTTTTTTATTTTTTTTTTATACATATATACAATTTATTAAACTAGTTTTCTACTACCAATATGGCAGCTTAAGCTAGTTGAAAGTTAGGGAATACAAAAGTTGTCTATAGTAAGCATCTATAGGACGCACTTATATCTATGTACATATATACAATATTTACAATGTTTTACATGAAAAATGATTATATTTTATGATATATACTATGTATTTTATACAAGGGCTCTTGTGGGGAGATCCTTTGGATGGCACTTCTTCAGTCTTCTCTTCTTAGGTTTGGACAGGAGCCGCCTCGCTAGTGCGTTGGGGTGACTGCCGAGTCGCTTCTCGTAATTGCTTGCGTGCATTTGAATGACATCGCCAACCTTGGGGACACATAAGTCTCTTTCGATGTCCCTAGTGCGCATATACCAGGGAGCGTTGCATATTTTTCTGAGTATTTTAGCTTGCGCAACTCTTATTTTGTTTAGGTTTGAAGCAGCGGCAATGCCATAAATTGGTAGGCACAAAAATTTTTTTAAATTTACATATATACAATTTATTAAACTAGTTTTCTACTACCAATATGGCAGCTTAAGCTAGTTGAAAGTTAGGGAATACAAAAGTTGTCTATAGTAAGCATCTATAGGACGCACTTATATCTATGTACATATATACAATATTTACAATGTTTTACATTAGAAATGAAATTATATTTTATGATATATATTATATATTTTATACAAGGGATCTTGTGGGGAGATCCTTTGGATGGCACTTCTTCAATCTTCTCTTCTTAGGTTTGGACAGGAGCCGCCTCGCTAGTGCGTTGGGGTGACTGCCGAGTCGCTTCTCGTAATTGCTTGCGTGCATTTGAATGACATCGCCAACCTTGGGGACACATAAGTCTCTTTCGATGTCCCTAGTGCGCATATACCAGGGAGCGTTGCATATTTTTCTGAGTATTTTAGCTTGCGCAACTCTTATTTTATTTAGGTTCGATGCAGCGGCAATGCCATAAATTGGTAGCGCATACTTCCATATTGGACTTAATATGGACTTGTATACTGTCACCTTACTGTGCAGAGACAGCTTGTTGCAGGGTGCAAGCAGCCATGCCATCTTTCCGGCTTTTGCCATGACCGATCGCTTGACCATTGTTGTATGCTTGCTGAAGTTGAGTCTTCTGTCCAGAATGACACCAAGATATTTGTGCGAATTTGTATGACTGAGCGTGGACCCCAACATTGTGATATCTCCGCATGACGACGGCCTTGTTGTAAATGTGACATTCGCACACTTGCTGGCGTTGATACCAATGTTCCAATTCAGAGCCCACTTCTCGAAACTACTTACATACTGCTGTAAGGCTTCCGAAGCTACATCGATATCTCTGCATCTGGTAAGCACCGCAGTGTCGTCTGCGTAAGTAGCTATTAGTGCGTCATTCTCGTCTACTCCAAGGATCTCTTGCGGTGCAGGCATATCAGCAGTAAATAATGTATACAGGGTAGGACCGAGAACACTGCCTTGGGGCACTCCTGCACAAATTGAGCGCCTCGTGGATTTCACTCCATCAACAGCAACTCTGAAGCTTCTGTCCCTTAGAAAGCTTTCGATGAGTTGAAACAATTGAGGAGTTAGTATGCCTTTCAATTTGCAGAGGAGACCATCATGCCACACTCTATCAAAAGCTTGTTTAATATCCATAAACACAGCCACTGAGTACATCTTTTGCTCCATGGCTTCCAGGGCGAAGTTGACCACACGGTGGAGCTGTTCCGGTGTTCCGTGACTTCTTCGAAATCCAAATTGCCATTTTGGAATTCTGCGCGTCACGGCTTCGAGCTGGAGAATCCGGTCCAGAATCACGCGTTCCATCATCTTCCCGAGGGCAGGTAGCAGACTAATCGGCCTATATCCATCTACTTCAGTATGCTGTTTCTCTGGCTTTGGAATCATCGTAATTAGCGCCATTTTCCAGCAGTTTGGAAAGTGCCTCAGCCTGAGTATGTTATTCATGAGCAAAACAATATACAGCAGAGCCCTTGTGGGGAGCAGTTTCAGCGTCCTGTTGTCTAAAAGGTCTTCTCCAGGCGCTTTTTTGACCTTTAGATTTTTTATCTGCTGTACCACTTCTTGCAGTGTAACTGGGCTTGCAGGCAAGGCCATTTGGAATGGCATCTCCAGCCTAAGCTCGACTACCCTTCGCCTATCTGCTGATGTAAAGTCAAAAGGCTTAAATCTTTCCTTTAGGCTGTTTGCAAAGATTTCAGCTTTCTGCTGACTGGAATAGCTCCATCCACCTGAAGGATCCTTAATTGGAGTCTTAGGGATGACCAGCCTCTTAAATCGCCTCGTAAGCTTCCAGAGCGAGTAATTAAATGATGCATCTGGACCAGCACTTTCCAATATGTCATCAATTCTGCCTTGTCTGATTTTAGCAAGCTCTTTTTGCAGTCGATTGGACAGTCTTTTGTAGATTTGATGAATGCGAGTATCTCCAGTTCTTGCATATTCTTTCCTGACTCTTCTTTTCAGGCTTAAGAGCGCAGCAGCCGTTGGTGGTAGACTAGCTTGACTATGTTGGGTTGGCAAGCGTAAAGTTTTCGGTGCAGCAGAAGACGCAGCCAGTGAAATGTTCTTCATGAGGATTGATATCGCGTCTTCGATATCCTCTGGGCTGTTAATTTCGACGTTCAGGTTAATTCTTCTTTCGAGATCGGCTTTAAAAACATCAATACGGGAGCCAGGTGGTAGAATATATTCCCTCTTGGGATTATATTGCGGTGCATGATGTAGCGTCGCTACTACTGGAAGGTGATCCGATGCGAGCTCATATTTTGTTTCAACGGTGAGTCTGTTTAGGGCAATCCTGTTGACAATAAAGAAGTCTAGTGCAGAGGGGTTAAGCCGTGTGTTGTAAGAGTAGAAAGTTGGCTCTCCAGTAGCAAGAACTTGGCAAGTAGTACTAGCTATGGCCTCTTGCAAACACCTTCCTCGCCTGCAAGATCTGGAATTACCCCACCATTGGTGTTTTGCATTAAAATCACCGCCTACAATAAACTTATCTCCTAAGGTTGCAAGCAATAGATCAAAGTCGGCCCTGCACCAAGCTTCATTGGGAGGAAGATATAGGGAGGAGACTTTGATGCTTCCACCATTCGTCGGTATAGTTACGCTGGCCGCTTGGATGCTTGTTTTTAGAATTGGCTCATTCTGTGAATGAGCGATACTTGATCTAATGATGACTGCAGAACCACTTTTAGCGGTGCCACTGGGATGATTAGCGTAGTACTGGTCGTATCCTGGCAAATATGCGTTCAAGCCAGGACGCATATGCGTTTCGGTTATTAACATGATATCGATCAAGTTTGAACTTAGGAAAAGCCTGAGTTCATCATTGTTTTTGACCAGGCCCCGTGCGTTCCATAATCCGATTTTTAACAGCGGATTTAACATTTGGATATTAGTTTTTGTACCAAGTCACGGAAGGCTCTATTGGAATCCATATTTTCCTGAATGAGCTTATACATTTGATCCATTCTTGCGTTTAGATCAAAAATCGCCTTTTCCAGCATACTAAATTTATTGTTTAGATGCCAATCTTCAGCGGAAATGTGTGCCCGGGGCGAGTTTTGGTTTGTTGGCGCGATGGTACGCTTTCCTTCAATTGGCCTTGCTGCATCAGCGTAAGAGAAGCCACTCTTAACAGCAGAGCTTGAGATGAACTGTACTTTATTGCCTTGGTTGTTTGGGTAACTCCTATTGCTACCGATGACTAGACCATCTCTCGGCAACCTCACAGCTGGCTTAAGTTTTTTGGCTAGATCAATTCTTACCTTGCAGCCTCTGAAGCTCGACATGTGGTCTTCGCCGCAATTAGCGCATATAAATTCCCCATTATCATTCAGGTTACATGATTTTGAGCCAGTATCATGGTCCCCCGAGCATTTACCGCAAACCGGCTTTTTAAGGCAATAGTTCCTCGTGTGCCCGAAATCTTGGCATCTGAAGCATTGTACCAGCTCTTTACTCTGTTTGGCCTTTGATATTGTAACCCTGTGTCTACCAATTTGAGTTATTTTTAGTGCCTCAGCAACGTTGGGTGCGTTCTGGAGGTTAACGTAAAACATATTTTGTCTTGTTTTGACATTATTTATGTCCTCACCATCCTCCTCATTAATTTGAATGTTACGCCAGTCCGGTTTTCTGGGGCAATATATATTCAAAACTGTAAAGCCCTTGTCGGTAAAGGTGCGCTCTATTAATTGCCTGGGTACATTGGGATGAATATCTCTGAGCACCAATCTGCAGGGTTTGTTCTCCTTCAACTGGTGGTGCCAGAATTGACAATTTTGATTGGACAATAATTTGATTATTGCACGAAACGCATTCGAATTCTTCGTATAAATACGCGAGATCCCAGATTTCGATGTGCGTATGTCGTAATCGTCAGGGGAGACAGCAGAATTGAGCGCCACCTCCAGCTTATCCAATTTGTTAACTTGTGGCACACATATAGCAGGAGGCTTAGGAATACTACTTCCCTGCTGGAAACGGCTGGCTTCATTTTGCTGGCTCGATGGATCTTCGGAATCTGGCTCTTCCATTTCCATAATGGAATCAGCTTCTTCCGAAAGGGCTGCAAATCTATTATTTTGAAGCGCTGCCGGAGAGGAGGACGCAGTTCGTTGTCCCTGGGTTGTATTGACAGGAGTTGGCTTATTTTTTTGAGCCGATTTTAGTGACTCGACGGCTCCTTTCCGCTTCCTATTAATACCGGGTACTGGCATTTGAAACGAGCAAAATTTGTCCAGAGTTGGATTTGCAACTAAGTTTGTGATTGAAGCCGGTGTACTCACAACGGCGGGTGTGGAGCACAAACTGCCATTTGATGTCGCTACTGTAGTATACATTGATTGAGAGTTCACCACAGAAAATGTTAGGGTACTTGTAGTCGATGTACAAGTGGTTGAGGCAATCCAGTTACTGGTTGAGATTGACGGCTTTAAGTATGGTTTTCCCATTGACATATGCAAGTCCTTGGTTATTTTTGCTCTCAGCTCCGAAGGTGATTTACCAGAAATTTTTCTCATCTCCACGTACTTCGGCAGCTTATTGACTACTTCCTCAGCTGCTCCGAGAGCGGCCGAGTCTTCATCAGCATTCATTTACGTGAGATAAGATGACTTGCAAAAACAAGCAAAGAAGAAAAATTCTGGGCTGTCTCTGCTTCGATGACGTGTATACGTCAGCAGAGCAGCCCCATACAGCAGATTAATTGTTGATTGGAATCCAAGAAAATAAGGATACTAAACGATTGCCAAAAAGCCAAGGTGAAACTAGGTTTCCGGGTGATTTTTTTTTTTTTTTTTTTTTTTTTAACGCACTATACGCGAAATAATTGAAAAAGAGGAATTTACTACAATTTTTCACGGAGCGCACAATAAAAAGTCGACTAGTCACTTTGACAGCTACCAGGGTATTTTTTTTTTTTTTTTTTTTTTTTTTTCTATTTTACATATATACAATTTATTAAACTAGTTTTCTACTACCAATATGGCAGCTTAAGCTAGTTGAAAGTTAGGGAATACAAAAGTTGTCTATAGTAAGCATCTATAGGACGCACTTATATCTATGTACATATATACAATATTTACAATGTTTTACATGAAAAATGATTATATTTTATGATATATACTATGTATTTTATACAAGGGCTCTTGTGGGGAGATCCTTTGGATGGCACTTCTTCAGTCTTCTCTTCTTAGGTTTGGACAGGAGCCGCCTCGCTAGTGCGTTGGGGTGACTGCCGAGTCGCTTCTCGTAATTGCTTGCGTGCATTTGAATGACATCGCCAACCTTGGGGACACATAAGTCTCTTTCGATGTCCCTAGTGCGCATATACCAGGGAGCGTTGCATATTTTTCTGAGTATTTTAGCTTGAGCAACTCTTATTTTGTTTAGGTTTGAAGCAGCGGCAATGCCATAAATTGGTAGCTACCAGGGTAGGCACAAAAATAAAACAGAATTAGGTGCAGTATACGGTTTCAGCCCAAAAGTAGACTTGGCTTTTTAGTTGACAGTCTACAAACGTAGCATACTTTCAGGCCGTCCAATTGGAACGCTTTGCTTTCAGTTCCCACATGCAGTGCTTCATAGCGGAGTTGGTTGCAACTATTTCCTTCACGAGTTTCTTGTGCAACAATGTGCATTTCGGTTATTTTACTGGCACCTGGTGAAAAAACGAACAGGCAGTAGCTATTACTACTGCCATCTGGGATAGGAATCCGAGCGCGCCAAGCCAACAATTTGGCACAGCGCAAATTTATATTTGCTTTAAACTTGACAAAATTAATCAAATTAAACACTTGACTGCACCGCCAGACGTGCACAAATAACGAAGCGCCCCTTCCACCATTCACTATTCACCATTCACCAGGTCCTGGGGCATCAACACTGACAACGCGTCGTTGTCGTTGCCAAATTCAAATTTTCTAAGGCGCAAGCAGAGCACACAAGGGCAGCACGCGCATGAGGCAACTGCATGTCGACAAGGGGGAGGCAAACAGGCTAACAGGCGAACTGGCGAGCTGGCGAACTAGTGACTGGGTGTATGAAGGGGCGGTTGGTTGGGCAAATAGACGACCGCAATAAGCTTGCTTAGCCTTTTTGACGGCACAGCCAAACAGACTGTGGCTCCAGCTCTAACGCCGACGGCTGGTAGTCAAAGTCAAGCGCGACGCAAATATGAACTACAAATATTTTCTCGCTAAATTGAGTCTCTTCTCTTGTCTACTTCGTCTTGTTTATTGCAGAAACTAGAGTTTCACACGCACACGGGCACCGCACTCTTCCCGGCCCAATTCGCGCTAAGCTACGAGTTTGTGGATACCGAACAGGGTGGGGAATTTTGGCCGGGACGGCGTGGCGAAGATCCCGTTCCGCCACTATGCTCGCGTATCTTTCGGAAGCGCAAAGGCAACATCCAAGTACCCCGGAACGTGTTTCTTTACGGACGTGGTGGAGCCAAAAATATAAGCTGCCTGTATCGCTTTGAAGCCGGAGCCTCGGAGCGCGTCAAGCTAGTACTGCATAATGTATCCTTTGGCGAGGGAAGCGCCTGCACCACAGACTCGGATCTGCACACCGGGCGGCCACGGTGTAATCAGCTTGACCCCGAGGGCCGAATCACTGAGTTGCGCCTCTACGATGTGCCCTTCCGCGATGTTAAGATTCAGCTGGGCTGTTTCTGCGACAACTCCAGCGCGCTTTATAGCAACGCGCCACTGAGTTTCATCTCACACTCTCGCATCATGGAACTGAGCTTCACAGTCACGCGCCTCAACATATCCGAAGATTTCGCAGATGTGTTCTTCTCCGCGTCATACGAGTTCAAGCGCGTACCTGATTGCCGGAAGCAACTCAAGCTTCGTGGTGCTGGAGGCGAGGATGAGCTTAAGTATCCGCTGAAGACGCAGGACGCAAGCTGCGAGGGCCTGGCCTGGTACATAGAGGCGCAATCCGCAGAGCGGTCTTTGTTCGTGCAAACCTGGGGCACATATCTACCTGTCGATCCAACCTCGGAGGATGCAATGCGCTGCCACACCAAGAACCGTTTTATGGTATACTCTGGGCGGCCCCTGAAGCCGATGCGCGTAGTATGTCCAGCACAGAGCGGTCCGCGACCTACGTCGCTGCACATATTTTCAGAGGACTGGACCAATGGACAGCCGTTGTTCATGAATAAGTAAGTAAACAATTCAGCAGTTATATCTAAAGCGGGGGATATGCAACGTGATTTTGGATAGAAAATAAATAAAACATGAACTACGTTTATAAATTTATACTTTTTCTAAATTGTTCAAAATTGCAAACCCTGTCAATACAAAATTTTAATCATTTTGAGTGCGCCTTTTCGATGGAAATTAAACAAAATCTTGAACAATGTTTATAAATTTTTACTATTTTTAATTGTCAAAAATTTCAAAGTTTAAACAATACGCTCTGTCACCAGATTTTGAATATTTTGAGGGCGCCTTTTAGAAAAACAAAACAAAAAACTTGAACTTTTTTTATAAATGTATACTTTTTCTCAATTGTTCAAAACTGGACACTCTGCCAATACTATATTTTGATCGTGTTGGGGGGCGCCTTTGGAAAGAAATTAACAGAAGCATGCATTTTTTCCCTTTTCTTAATTGTTTAAAATTGCAAAGTTAAAACAAGACAAACCAAAAACCGTGTTTTGATATTTTGGGGGAGCTAAAATAAATATTATCGTATATTTATTTATTTTATTTAAGTCGTAAAAAGGACGACGTATGGAAAACCATGATAAATATAATAGAAAACTGCAATTATATTTTATAACCAATCCGGCGTTTGGGGCAATATTATTTTCACTTTATAAATAAATATAAAACTTAAACCGACCGTATCAATCAAACAAGAGGTGTAGAATCAAAAACTATTTAATAATATTAATATATTATTAATATTGATAATATTTAATTAATAATTAAATAATTAATTTAATATAACAGAAAAGTTTACTAATCAGAAGCATGAACTATGTTTACCAGCAGCTGAGAAGATATTCTACTCTTTACAATGTTATCAGACACGTGATTCAAATATTAATAATAATCATACATTTTTTCATCCCGTTTGATATATGTACGGTTGTTTAAAAAGTGGGTTTTCTGTGAAAATCTTAATATTTTAGAAAGAGCAAACTATACATACTATAACGAGAATGACCATACGTGGAAATACTTATAATAAATTGAAGGTTTTATAATACGTGATTTATCACAATGCAGTTTTACTTGTATAATAGTTTTTTTTTTTTCAAATCAAAAAGATATTTGTGAGTATACTAGTATCGTTTACAAATATAGTTTATAAATACAAGTATTTGGCAACTCATGTGTTCACAGATCTACTCGTATACGAAAATACAGCATTTCATTCGCACCATCTATAAAAGGTGGCATGCAACTGAGGAGTTGACCAATTGGGTTAAGGTACTCTAATCACAAACAGGGCCACGAAATGTCAAGCACACTCATTAGCCTTTTGGCAAGAAAAGGAACTAGCACATAACACGAAGCAATTACCCTTCGGGGTGCCATAAAAATATGTTTTCACGTTGTATAGTATGTGCCACCATTTTGGAAGCAATGCATACACGTAGATGACTATGCATGTGTGTGTGTGTGTGTGTGTGTGCGTGTGTATGTGTGGAGTATGGTATTAGCGACAAATTTATATGCCACGCACAAGTTGAGCGAGAAATGCATGCAGCATTGCCATAAAATTTAATGGCAACATATTGAGAAGACGCTCAGAGCTGAGCCGAGTGCAAGGCTGGACTGACCACGACCCAAAGTTAAAGGAACCCACAGTCAGGAGCTCAAGCCAAATGGGACTACATTTTCTTTGCACGCACCTTGAACATAAATTGCCAGACACACGTCATGACACACTCGCTCGATTACTCGGCTGTTTTACGGCTTGCCTGACTCAATGGTCGAGGTCTCAGCCAGGCTGTTTAGCTTTGCATGCTTTTGAACATCGTTTTAACTTAAAACAAGTGCCAACGTGAGCATGCAGGTGTGTGTGTGTGTGTGTATATATATATATCTATACACGTATGCTGGTGTAGGAGCGACGACCATGTTTGTTTGCTTTTTTCATAGCATATTTCTTTGCGCTCAATTTCCTGTGCTTTGTAGCCATCGCCCCCAACCACTACCCCTCTGCCCCACCCGTTTCGAACTCATGTGCGCCTCAATACACAGCACTGCCATTTCCTGTTATTGCATTTTTAAGCAGGTGCTTTCTGAGTGCAGTTGTGGAAGCCAAGCCAGGGTTATTAGTAACTATTAAAATGCAATTATATGATCAGAAATGCCAGAAATGTTTTCTAAAGTGCGGACCATTGCAGTTTGTGCACAAAATCGAGCTAATTTAAAATACAAATGAAAAACTAAGCATTCGACTTCTACTATTGTAGAAACTTCTAGAAGTTGCACCTGCTCTTCAGATAGAAATGCTCCTCAAAAACATAACTCGAAAATAGCCCTCTATACTCGTATATTCTGCTTTACTCAGTGTTTATATTATATAATTTGGATTTTTAACGGTATCGTGCTAGTCTAGTGTTAGTTTTAAATACAGTAATATCTTCGCAGTCTCTGGATTACAATGTTATAATTGGAATAAATCTTAGAATATTCTTAGGCGCGATATCAGACACTTTTCTGTTTTGGCTTGGATCACATTGTGGAGCCAGCAACGGGTTGGGCTGTGACTGAGGATTGGGGAGTACCTAAGTTGCCACAAAGATATATATGCAGAACGTTTGAAATATTTACAACTTGGCTTAACTGCGACTTATCTATTTCACAGACACGTCAGCCTGGTGTTGGAGCCTATACTGAAGGAGCCAGGCGACATAGCCTTCACATGGTTGGAGATCCATCGGACGAAGAACGCTCTGCTACAGCAATTGGATTTACATGTCAATGCAAGCGTAACCACCGGTCTAGGGGGCGGCTCGAGCATCGGCACTGGCTCGGCGGGCAGCGGAAGCGGAGGTGTGGGCACGGGCAGTGCTGGAGTTGCGGGTACTGGCGGCGGCACAAGCAGTAGTGGAGCTGGCGGCGGAGCGTCAAGCATGGCCAACGAAACGCTCAACGAATTTGGTTTCTATCCCAAGGAATCGGACTGCGAATATAAATGTCCCGAAATCGATGCATGCATAGCGGCCAGCCTCTGGTGCGATGGTAAGTAGACTGCGGACCTGGTGGCGGGGAAGGGGACTTGTAGCCTGTACGTGATTCGGTGATTTGGCCGCAAGAAACAACAGCCATCGCATTCGTGGTCGACTGTCTTCTAATTTCAATGCTGGCTACTCGCAGCCCTATCGCCTCACATCGACCACGCTTCTGTAATCAGAGCAACTTTGTGACAACTGCACAAGGCTGCAGGCTGCAGGCAGCAGGCAGCAGGCTGCTGGGTAACGACAACCCGCAGCAAAAACCCCAAAATGTCTTGCACAAAAGTTTGCAATGTCCGCCCGCCATAACCGCTGCAGCAGCAGCTGTGCAAAGTGGCGGCCAAACTTATTTGCGCCGCATTTGTCGACTGCCGCGTCGGCCAAAAGGCAGCAGGTGGAGAGAGAGAGAGGGGGGGAGGGGGAATGAATGTGGCAAAGAGCAGCTGTAAAAAATATCACAGGCTGGCCTTGTTTTTTAGCTTTAATTATTTACGGGCAGTCAAGCGGGCCGAAACCGAGCTTTTTAGCCGCAAAGGCAAGGCGTTAAGCAAACGAAGAGACAGTCAGCCAATCCGTTCGTGATATGCGATGTCCAATTGGCACTGTCGCTTTCAATTTGCAAATACACGTATAGTCCCGAATCTTTTCACTCAACGCACTGCTTTTTCCACTTTCAGGCCACCACAACTGCCCCTCCGGCTTCGATGAGTCTGAGGAAGAATGCGGTACGGCGCGCAAGCTGCTGGAGCTACCCGGCGGAGTCTTCGCCGCCCTCGGCTGCATTGCGGCCGCCCTTACCGCCTGCCTTATGTTTTGCATGTTCGGGCTTATGCGTAAGCGCAAAAAGTCCGTGACGCAGCAGAAGAGCTTCATGAACGGGACGACCAACGGGAACGTAGCGGCCAACGTGGGCACTCTGAAGAAGGACTTGAAGAAGGACACGCTCTTCGTTGACCCAGCGTCCTGACACGGGCTCCAGCCGGTCGAGTACATACATGTGGATCGCGAGACCACCGTGTGATATGTTGCTACCGGCTGTGGCTTCTACGAGCAGGAAATCGTTTGACCTCTGTACCCAGCGGCTAGGCAGGCGTGTGTGGCACGGGGATTTTAAAGCTGTGTGAACGGATGGGTGCAGCAAGACATAGAGAAACAGATAGAGAGATAGAGTGAACTAAACTAATTATAAGTTGGTAACTTTTTCTAAGCGCTTAAGTAATGTGTAGTGTATGTAGTGTGTGTTGTTATAGCCAGCCGATAGTGTTGTGTATGAAGAATTGTATGTACTATATATGACGTGTCTTGGACTTATCTATAGTATTTTGTTTAATTAAGTTGGGTTAACAATCACTGCCTAGTGTGTACATAACGACTTTGTTGAGGTTCTAGTGAATGTTTAGTTGGAATAGACCTTTAATTCGGATCGAATGTTTAAGCTGCAGAAGCTCCTTAGTTTCCTTGGATCGAGCTACACGAGCGCAACTATTGTAAATTAGGTACCTTGAACAGATAAATGCAGCATTAGTCCGAGAAAATTGAATCTAGCACCCTAAAGCACTCAACACAAAATCTAAAATCTGCTGCAATTAAATTGTAAAAAAAAAAAACAAGAAACAAATTAAACAACAAACCAGAAACATAAAAGGGCTTTCGGCTCTTTTACATTACCATAGCAAGTAAGTTTAGATTTAAGCTTTAAACGGTTAGCAGCATTTGGAGGCAAGTAAAATCTCGACAGTGTTGTGATCTCATGCATGCACATACTGAGTTACGTTGAAAACTATTTACTAAGAGGCATTTATTGGAGATTGCAGATATAGCAAGTGTTAGAGCATAATAAACGTACGTGTATGTACTAATGTATAGTCTTTGACGTAATAAAACACGCCTAGTCCCCACAAACTGAAAGATAAAAGCCGCACGACGTTTTTGGTACTGCACTCAATAAACAATGCAACAAATACAACACTTAGCGAATTCTTTATTGAAATGCAATTGTTAATAATTAAATGATAGATCTAAGGCATTCGAAGTCGCGCATACTCGTACTTAAACAGATATCCTCGTAAGGTAAACAGTTTTCAAATACTGCCATTAAATGTCTTCAAAGCATAACATCTACTGTGTTTTACATTCATAGATACTACGAGTATTTTTTCCAACACAAAATACAAATGTCAAATTTTAAAGAAGTTAAATAAACAACTTCTCTAATAGGTACGAGTACTTCTCATTTCTTCTTATTTTAGTGAGTCTGCATGAAAAAGGTTGCCGACTCTTTTCAACTCAAGCATTTCTGTCTGCCATTGTATTTCGGGACATATTCGAGAGCAATTGAAAGCAACTTAGTCCCTAAGCCGATTTTATTCACATGAAAGCAAACATATGTATGTATGTGCCCGTATATCAACGTGTATATGTATGTGTGTGTAGTACTCGTATGTACATAAATAAGTATGTGTGTGCACAATTAATGGTAATGAGTGGCGAACCGATTGAGTCGGGCCTAACAATTTCAATTTCAACTTCTTTTTCAAGTTCTATTCAATTACTAGCTCCAAACAAATACCTAATCACATTAACAGTTCAAAGCATTTAACGAGAAATTTGTAAAAATCGAAAACAAATAACCGCATTATGTAATAAGATAGTAAAATATGCCAATTGTATGGGGTACTATAAATAAATCATAAGTGCTAGCATAATACACCTACGTACGAGGGCATACTTACACGAGTATAAACAATCAAATTTTTGGCCGATTTTCATAATCGAAATGTAAGCTAATTAAAGGCAAGCCCCTAAGACAGAAATACTTTATTTAATAGATGCTTAATTAAGAAAAGGGAAACATTTTTGCATTAACATTAACAAAAATGAAAACTGCTCTTGTGAGTAATAATTATGCGCAATTACTTGTATGCATAATTGTTGTTGGAACTCGAGAAAGCCTGAAATCCTTCGTTTTAAGTAATACATAGGCTTTACATTTATTTCATTGATGCTGGCAAGGTCAGAATTAGATTTCTTAAAAGTACATTTTTTCAGTTTCTTTATGAATAGCAAGCCAATATCAACAAGAAATGCACTTTGTACAATTTCAATAAAAGGGAAAATGTTCTGCTTATGCGAGTGCATAAAAGTAATTAAAATTTAGGAGAATACACAACCCCAAATAGCATAAACATACAAATATCTGGAATATTTTACATACGTATGCATAAGTAAACAAATCGAAAAACAATTTCAAATAAAAATGGCATATAGGCCCAAATGGAATTTGTGCCATAGGCATGGAAAAGATAGAGGTGGGCAAATAAATTTGAATAAGTATGTAGCTTTAAAAAAATATTCACAAAATACAAAATACAAATATAGATAATACCGTTGCTATTTATGGCCACCACTGTCACATGGTCACATCAGTTCGGTTCAGTTCCTCTCCACAGCTACGGAAAATTTGTGCCAACTGTTTAAAGTAGACTTTGAAAATGAAAACAAAAAGAAATTGAATTATGGCCAAGCATAAAACATTGCATGTAATTTATTTGAAACGTGGAAAGAAGTGAAATGCGTATGAATGCCGAGGTACGAGACGACGTTAACGGAATGGAGAGTAAATAAAATACAGCAGCTGTGTAAATAGTCGTATGGCATACTGTTCACGTAAACATACACACGTATAAACATACTTTAAAAAAATCCAACATACACACTTGTCAAATTTTTCTGTTTTTCCTGGTTTTTTATTTGTTTACCCCATAAATTGCGAATTACTTTTTATTTATTATTGGAACTTTTGACGTTTTTAAAGCGCTAGTCTAACATGTAAGGCTCACTTGTATTATAAATGATATACAGTAAAACAGAAATATTTATATATACATATTTAGAGTATCGAAAAGAAAATTTGAAATAATGACGCACTGAATCAAATAGAAGAAACGACTAAAATAAAAATTAAACAAAACAAATAAAAGCTGCGTTTTATTGTGTAATTTTATGGAGACGATTTTACATCACAAAAACACACATGCTATACATTACTGATTTCCGTCATCAGTATTATATATGACAAACCCGGATCCAGTTCATTAATACCTTGGTAAGAATTTCTGGGATTACAGATAAGCTTCTCCAATTGAATTGACCAAAGATTGGAACTACCAGGTGGCTTGCTCTGCCAAAGATGATCGACGACCACTATAAATAAATTATCAAATTGCATTAAGCAAATTAAACAAGCTTTTATATTTTTAATGTTGAAGTAAAATACTTTAGCTTGGCAGAAATGGATTAATATTTTTGACCTCCTGTGCAGTGCTACTGAAATACGTCCATCTGTTTAACTTACCTCTGGCGCCGAGTGGTTCTTATGACTTGTTGTATTCGGACTTTTGTCCGTTCTCATGGACATTTAAAGTCAAGGTAAGTATATGAAACTCATTATTTTTCAAATTTTATTAAGTTGAGTTGTAATGCTTTTTAATCTTTCCTACGTCACATCTTTCCCAATACTTCCTCCGATTTTTATGGATTCGATTACGTCCTTGATTGAGTACCCACTGTCGTCCACCTTTCTTTGTCTGTACAAGGATGTCCATCGTCCCAATTGGTGTTTATTGGATCAGATATGGATGCCCTTTCGCGCATTTGCCAAAGCCGCAACTCCCATTCTTGTTCCGTTTCTATGGCTCTAGATGTGGATGCCCTTTCGCAAAGGTCTTGCAAACGCAATTCGTTATTATTTTGAATTTACACTGACAACCAAAGTAAAAAGTGACTGTCAAACATATTAAAATGATCAGAAATAAGCCAGAAAACGATGGTTCTTTGCATTGAGTCTATACGGAACATATATATATATACATACATACTTACATACATACTTTCATTTTTATATATTTATATAGATAATACAAAGTTCATAAATTGTTATGAGAAAGTATTTTTCTCATTTTTACAGACAGCTTTCAAGAATTATCATCACTATCCGCATTAAGCTCAGGGTTTGTGAAAATACATTTTCAGTTGGCATTTCTATTAACCAGTTGCTATTAGCTATTTAAAGTAATATTGCTATAGTTTCCGTAAAATGCCAATTTTAAAATATTCGAATAATTTCAATGAAATATAGCGTCAGAAGAATTCAGTCTGTACAATGATACCAAACCCAAAGGGTTTTTCCGAACATTAATGAAGACTGATCTGCCTCGGGCTTATGCAGGAGAAAGTGGATATCAGAACTAATGGACAGACGCACAGTTAGGTATAGCTATGTTGAATCTTCCTGACATGCAGATAACGCGGATACTTCTTTGCCCCCTTTTGTGTGTTACATACATTAGTCCTTGAGTACGTGGTATAAACAATTGTTTTTTCTATGTTTTCCCTTTCTCCCAAATAATAAACGGATATTATGAAATTGTTTAGTTTTCATGTTCTCCTATGCCTCAGTAAGACCAGCAAATGTATTTTTTCAACACACGATATACTTTTGCAAAGATACAAGGTGTGTTCCAAAGTAAACAGGACTTTAAAATAAAACAGAACAAATGGTTTTTTCGGCAAAATCAATTTATTTTATTCAAAATAGTCTCCTTCTGCTTCAATACAGCTTTCTGCACGATCCAAAAGCATGTCGAACGAGTGTTTTAGCTCATTGGCCGGTATGGCCGCCAGTATGCCGATGAAAGCCTTTTGAAAGGCCTCTACGTCTGCATAACCCTTTCCTTTCATGGGCAAATGCATTTTTCCGAAAAGGTAGAAGTCGCACGGTGCCATATCAGGTGAATACGGCGAGTGGTTAATGGCTAAAATGTGATTTTTAGTCAAATAATCGGTCACAAGCGTCGATCGTCTGAGCAATTTTTGGTCGTTTATCAATTTGTGCGGAACACACACCTTTCGTAAGCCCAAATGTTCGGTCAAAATGCGATAAATCGATGTTTTGGAGATGTTCAGTTCCATTTCCATCAATTTCAATAATGATTTCGGCTGATTTTTGATGAATTCACGCACAGTTTCGATGGAATTTTCGGTGATAACGAATTCTAATTGGCCCACATGTTGATCGTCATTTATGTCCTCACGACCACTTTGAAAACGTTGAAACCACTCGTGCACTCTGCTACGGGATAGGCAATCATCGCCATAAGCTTGTTCCATGAATTGAAACGTTTTGGTAAAAGTTTTACCAATTTTAAAATAAAATTTAATGTTGTTCGAAGCTCATTTTCGCACCGATAATACAAACGTACTGACACTTAAAACGCAATAACTTCACTTCGAATCGATGAAATGTCATGAAATTCTCACTGGACAATCGATAAAGATAGCAGATTCTAGAAGTTCGACATATAGATAGCGCCACCAGGGGGCGCTAGGTTCAAAAAGTCCTGTTTACTTTGGAACGCACCTTGTATATATATTGCTTTATCTTACTTTTCAGTCAAATAACATATATACATATATACACATACACCGAATTGTGCCAGATCATGAACAGAGATTAAATTTATGACTATATCTTGCGTTAGAGTCGATTAATCATGATCAGCACTTCCAAGATATAAGTGTCAATTGGAAGCCATTAGCCCAGTTCATATATACTTTGATTTACTTTGATTTTATGATTACACAGACTTAAAGGACTTAAAGACCCTTTGGGTATAAGGTAATTTAAAACATATCATGAACTAATATCAATAAGAAATATTAAGCTAGAACCACACACAAAAATGAAGTACATAAATAAATACATTTTCACAAGCATGTAATGCATATTCGGGCCTAGAGCCAATTTAAGCTGTTGACAGTTGAGTTGTCGGCTCAGCACTATTGCTACTTCAACAACAGGCAGTAAACGAGCAACAAACAAACAGACTTTTGTTCATCTGATAAACTGGCGGCCAGTCATTTGAACCACACAAAAATAACAGTTGTTCAGTGAAGTGTAAGGTGTGGACACCCTTCCCTCGAGCCCCAGCCTGGACCTTTTAGCCTGGCCATGCCGCAAGTGTCGCATAAAGAACCATGAAAATCTGTGCATATGTACATATGGTAAGTGCTACATATTTGTACAGTGCAGGGCTCCCACATTGCACAATTCACACGCTTGAGCTTAAACAGTATTGCACAAATCGCATCGATTTCCGTTTCGCCCTGGCTTTGAGCCAAGCCGCCACTCTGGTCACTAGCCACTTATGTAAACAGTATTTTAACGCTCAAGCATTGCGATGAGTGCGAAAAAACTCCAAGTGCTAATTATTACGGCTATTTAGACCAATATCGTTGCACTTCATAGCTAAATACTGGCAGATGCATTGGCCACCAGCTACCGGCGACCGACGGGCTTCGCTGTTTCGCTGACGGCAGCGTTTTGTATTTTTTATGCAGAAGTTTACACGAATTTTCAGCTTGTTGCAAAAAATATTTACAATTATTTGGCAGGCAGCAAAAAACGACCAAAAGTGTTGACCTAGCACATATAAATGTGTAAACGTAAGACATAACCCAGCCGTCAGACGCCAGTCCATCCACATGTCAGAAACTCCACAAATTACCGTGCTGTTGGGCAGTATGTGCCCGCATATTAATTAATAATTTCCGAAATCTGAAAAAACCTCAAGGCACTCTACAAGTTATTCCGTAACGAAAGATTTTGTGCCGCAAAACTTTTCCTGCTGCTCTTATTTACATATCAAGTAGCATTTGTGAGAAGGTCTGCACGAAAACTGAGCTTTCATCTTGTTCTATTTTTTCGTAAAAGTTTTCAGAAGAGGTTTGGTTGTTTTTAATAAAAAGTCTGTACATTATGTAGATCTAGAAAGTTAAATGTACAAATTTATTGTAGGTGCTTTCACTTTCACATAACATAGGTTATCAATAAAATAATTCCATTTCAGCATGGTATATACATATATATTACTTTACAACGTGTTAAATCTAAACTATTAAAAATAGGGCAAAAAAAAGCAATGCATCGGGAAAAACAAAACAATAACTCGACCGTTCCACGGCTACTTAGTTGAAGGACTCTTTTGGATATCCCTGCGTTTGATCAGATTATACAATTTGTTATATCTTCATATCCTTTAATAATCTTTGTCAGTACGACCAGATGAGTCAAAATAGCCATGTCTGTCTGTGCGGCCGCCCGTCCGTATGAACGCAAGGATCTCAGAAAGCATATAAGGTAGAATGAGCACACGTGGTTCCTAGATTCTTCTAGATCCGAGGCAAATAATTAATTACTTAATGCAGGTAAAACCAGCTATTTTGTTTTGATTTCTTGTGCGCAAACTTTCAAACACAAGTGTGGGCAAAAAGCGCTATATATAAGTGTAAGGGTCAATGAGCTTTAGCAACAATGGAGTAAAATAAATTTCTAAAGAAACTTGCAAACATGTTTTTACACACACGATACATACATAGGGAAAATAAAACTACTTTAACATTAGATGCCGGCCATTAATTTATGCGCAATCGATTAGCAAATGTATTTTCGTTAAGGCAAAATAACGATAAGGTCAAGTTTACTGATAATTTATGAAAAATTAAAGAATTCAAATGAGAGTGGCCGAAACCTAAACCTGTTTAAAGACAGATCACATGTGGAAATAAGTGGCGGAGCTAGACAAATAGACAGCTATATTGCCTAGAATTTTCTAGTTTTATTCTCCCTTTTGACTCGCGTAGGGCTAGATACCATGCTGTCAACTGTATAAATAAGGACACAGGCACAGGCGCGGATATCGACATCCGTATCTAATTTTGTCATCATAAAGCGACTTCCCTCACAATTCGAGTTTTGACTCTTGTATTTGATCAGCTGGCGGCCCAATGAATACTTGTATATAGCATTTGTTTAAATATTGGCAACCTAAATTGAGTCGCATTTAACCACATTAGAAACAATAGAGCCAAGCCATCCAAAGGTTCCAACCAACCGCAAAGACTGTATAGTACAGTGCGTGCCAATCTATTGTTACACCTGCCGAACAGCTGTGCAATCAAAAGAGCCAAAGCTAAGAGCTCAGCTCAGTGCTCGGTTGCGGCGGCCAAATGAGCGCGCAAAAGAAAATGGTAAAAGTAGCCCGCAACAACAACAACAACAACGACAACAGCAATGCCACCACTCGCGGCAACAAGAGCAAGCTTAACAAGCTACCTGCGCAGCCGCAGCCGCAGCCCGAGTCGGAGTCGGAGTCCAAGCCGTCGTCGCCGACTTAGCCGCTGCTGTTTGGCCCAAAAGGCGGTTAGCCAGTCACAGGAATTCTCAGTTTTGCCGCGACCGTCGTGCGCTCCAGACGTCAAAACGCTTTGCTAGTTTAAAGAGAAACCCAAGAAACTTGAGATTTGTAGAACCAGTAACAGTTCTACTTGTACTAACGGACGTAACAGCAACAGTGGTGCACGATTTGTTAACCGGGCCTAAATAATACAAATTACTTACAAATAATCGAAAGAAGCTTGAAAGTGCAGTTCTGTGCGTTCCCCTCCGACCTTGTGAGTGTGTTTCGCGCTTAGCTTCTGCCCATGTCGCCCAACTCAGAACGATCGTACAAAATGAAGCTGCGCGATATGGAGAATGCCTTTAAGTACCGCCGCATACCATATCCCAAGCGGTAAGTCAAAAGTGCAACTAACGGTACCGCGCATGCAAAATCAATAGAAATGCAAAATCATTCGCAAGCATAAGAACATTGAGGAAAGCAGGAAGTTTGGACACTCGCTGTACGACCAACTCTACTCCGGAGTCACGGGTATTCCAGAAATTGCATGGCATGGCCAAGAAAAACGGCTAGTTTCTGTTACCCATGGTACTGGCACCTAATTGAAAACCGGTCCAACTCATAATTGCTTATTGAATGCAGTGCTCGAAGCAAATATATCCGATGTGACAGACATCGACGGTGACTTGTGGTCGACTTTAGACTGCAATAGTCGTAGCCATTGCCGCTGTCTTTCATGCAGCTGCTGGAAACACATTCTGTTTTTTTTTTTACAATCTGTACCCTAAGGGTGGAGGGTGTTATGAAACTGTTCATTCGTTTGGTAACAACCAAAGGGAGGCGAGGTCAATACTACTCGAATTTAGTATGTATTCTTGGTCAGTAGGATGAAATGAGTTGACATTGCCTCTGAACGTGGGAATCTCGAAAAGTATTGTAGCTGAAGTCTGCGAAGTCGGGACAAGTCACCTCACAACCCTCCCAGAAGCGTTTTATTATAATTGTCGGTAATTCCTTCTAATTGCGTTCTCCAAAACCATTTTCATTTAAAGCAAAAATGAATTAAGCTACTCATGATCACCCGTTTTATGTGCGTTTATATGAATGGCTCATAAATATAAGTTTTAACCCATTTTGAATACTATTTTAAACATATTGTCATTAAATCAAGTTGTAATTTTAATTAAAAATAAAAAAGTAGTTTAACAGTTTTTCTGAGCTGGGTGCAGTGTGTATGGGAGAATGGCGGGCGCTCCACTCTAGCATTAAACAAGTTTTGTTTTCTAATCACTGTATTGCAACAGTAGAAACGGATGCCAAATGAGATAAAAACTATTCGGCTCGTTATTTCATGGCCATCATCTCCATCTCCCAGCAGTTCAATTACGCACAAGTATAGTGTCGACTGTCGCTTTCTGTATCTGTGTTTGTGTTCTGTGCGTGTGTATGTGTGTGCGTGTGTGTGTGTGCTCCAGTTTTAGTGCCGACCTGCCGGACTGAACACCACATTTTCAATTGTTCTCAGCCACTCCGCTGCCACTTCCTCCACCTCTGCTGCTGCTCATATTTCATTTTGTGAAGCAATTGCAGCACCTCGGGCCAGCGCACAAAAATGTTTATGTTTGAACAAAAGCACAAGCAAAAGCAAAAGAGAAAAACCTTAAAATATTTTAAGTAGCCAGAGAGACCGCAGCCTGAGTCTCAGCCCCTACCACCGAGCTGCACCCCACGCTCCAATGTCTTGCTGACGGCTTGAGTTTTTCTTGTTCTTGTTGTTGCCGATGCCGTTGCCGTTGCCGTTGCCCTGCGCTTTTATGCAGTGTTTGCTTTTTTGGCGTTTGTTAGCCACGTTAAGTTTGAAATGCTGCGGACGCTGTCCGAACATATACACAGTCAGCCGGTCAGCGGGCTAGCCGGCCGGCCGCTCGTTCTTTCAGCGCATTGTAGCCCGACCGGGCACTCATTAGGCGCCTCTCCATAAATGAAACTATATGTATGCTGCTGCTGTTGTTGTTGTTGTGCAATACTCGTATGTGGCTGACTTTTAGGGCATCCAAAAAAGTTGCAAGTGTATGTTAGATATGATTTTATCATATACTGATACTCACATAAGTACTATTTAAACAGTTCTTAGCTAATTGGATTTACTATGCATACAGAGCAAGCCATTTGGTATGGGAAAATGCTTCTGAAGTCTTTTTACTATAAATATTAGACACCCTGATAAACTAATGCAAACAACAAATAAACAAAAGAATGCTTTCAATGAAATTTTAGCAAAAATTCCGACTTGAAAATTCAACCCGCTAGATGGCGAATAAAAATTAATAAAATACAAAATATTTCTTTTAATTGTTGCTTTTTGTCAAAAGGACAATTTTCAAATCAGCTCATGTACCTTGAGTTGTGGCATCTTAGAAAAGGCAAGATGAATTAATTTGTCAATAACCAGTTCTTAAATCGTTCCCCCACTAATTATAAAAAGGGTATCCACTAACTTAATTGGAACAGCTATTGAATTGCAATAGGTAGTAAAATGCATGTCTGTATGTATAGTACATAACATGGAGGAATCCTTTTGAATGGCGTTGAATATTTAATTGAGAAATTTAAAGCATTTAGTAATAGTATTAAAATGTTCCCCTTATTTATTGGGATTATTAAGACAGCTTTACTTTTTATTTAATTTTTGAAACAAACAATAGTTCACTGTATTAGGTTTTTATTGCTTAAATATTATTTATTGCTTAAATAGTATTTAAGTTAACAAGTGCCTTAGCAGCGAAGCTTCGTTTGCATAAATTTTACGACTATTTTGACAATTACACGCACCGCTTGTTGCCAATCACTGTCTGTCAATCTGTCACTGTGGCAGCCGTCAGTAAGTAGCTTTGTTGTTTTTTCACTACCAAATTAATTGCCGATAAATGAGAGGAAAGGGTTTGTTTGAATAAAGAAGCCAAAGCCACACATAAAACTGATATAAATATTTATATAAGCAAAGTGGAAAAAAGTGATTGCAATAGTGTTAATAAAAACGGCTGGTGATTAAAAAATATTGATGTTTTCACCATTCTTCATTATTTACAATACTTTTTTGAATTGCTATTAATTAATTAAATCAATTATTTTTTAAATAGCAGCACGGCACACACCGGCAGATACATTATGGGCCAAACATTAATAGTCGGTTGAAGTCGCAAAACAAAACAACTCACAATGCACATACATGTAGGTGAACCATCAATCAAAATTTGGGATGAGCAAAAAGGATTATTTAATTTAACAAATAAACCCTTGAATGCCATTTTTGAATATAAAAACAGAACAGCATCAGTAATTACTTGCAGTGTGAGTTGCAGACACAACCAATAAATGAAAGTGCCTGTTAATGCTCTTCAAGAAGCATTTCCAGTGCTCCAACCTGTCAAGCCGTCCTTCTTCAACTGTCAATACCGACTTGAACACCAATATTTGAATCGAAGAGCCTTTAACTTTTGCGAACCCATCTTTTGGCAAGTGACCACAAGAGAAAGTCCACAAAACAGTTTACCAATACCATTAACCCAAAGCCCGAAACAGTAACATATACTCGGACAAACACAATAACATTTACGAGCGCAACTGTTTAACGCGTTTTGGACCCTGTTTGTGACATAAATAAAAACATGTCAGCGCCACACAGCTATAGCAAAACAACTACACGCCCTCATGACCGACCATGTTATTAGTTGTCGTAAGGAAAAAAGCAACTAATCGACCAGTCGGCTGCGGCTCTCTGGGTTACGCTTCAAGCGCCACATCAACTGCTCCCCAAACACAAGACCCATTGCAAATTGGCGTTGCCGACTGCGGTTATGTAAAGGAAAGCGGTCAAAAGTCAGAGTAAAGCCCAGGCATGGAGCGTGGGTGGATTCGAAACAAGGGGTGTCTAACCAAATTCGCATAATATACTACATGAAAAAGGTAAAATGATTAACACAATCATGTGAAAAATGTGCAGCACTTTCAGCTACAAACAGCCAAGACAGAATTTAAATGTATAGCTTTCACCTGATCTTCAAATATGGCAAAAACGGGCGAGCGGGCCAAGTGCGTAAGAGCCATCAAGACAAACACGAACATTGTTAAACAAAAATGACGGTGTTGCCGCTTCGCTTAAAGATGATAATGATGATCATGTTGGGTGATCTGATTAAGTGGTTGTTTTTGTTTTTGGTTTTTTTGTTTTTTCTGTTAAGCTCTAGAGAGCCATCAAAACAGACTGCCAAGTGATTAGCGCCGGCCCCACAGAAGCGAGGCTAGGGGTTAAGAGCTCAATTAGCCCCATCTACTTGATTGCAAAGTCTCATGCTCGACAATGCCTTTCACTCACGCACTAGCTTCGATTCTGCATCCCGCTCCAAACGGGCCACCCACATATACAAGTACGAGCGACAAACCTGATTAACACGGTACCAAGCTGCTCTTGTCAAACCTAGTACCTGCCGCCCCTTTTTGCTATCCAAAGCATGCGCGACATAAAAAATTATCTATGCTTAGTACCCGTAGTCGCCGACTCCCATAAATCTCCGGGCTGTAGTAAAAGTGATTTACATACTCGCACTCGTACTTGTAAGCCAGCGACGCTCACTATATACACTATATTTACTTTCGCTGCAGTCGGGAATCTTCTTCTTCTTCTTGCTGCTAATAAACAATGAAAATAAAACTAAAAAGAAACAAAACTGCGCTGAAATTAAATGGAAGTTTGTTTCCTACACTTTTTATGGCATTTGCATGCATATTTGATTCAAGAAATCAAATTGTTTATGCAAAGAAACCAAACTATGTTTGAGTTTTTGTTCAAAGGGGGTGAGGGGGGGCAACGAAATTGAAAGTAGCGCCACAAAGAAATTAGTCATAGCTTTGGAAAAAGGCGAATTATGAAAGTTAAATTTTTGCAGCACATAAATCGAATATAAGACTTCCGGAAATAAAATAATATCACTTACCAAAATTGGTGTTTTCCTTTAAAAATCTGCACATCGTTTATATGTAATAACATTTTTATATTATTTAAATTATTTGAATATTTTTTTGCTCGCCAATGAATATTTATCATTTAATATTTTTGTTGTAATATTATGTTAAAATATGAGGCATTTTCTCAAGCCAGATGGACTAAAAATCACTCTGCAAAACGTCCTTCCTGCGCACAAAGCATTTTAATCTAAGAATGGCAAGCCATTGATATAAATGTAGAAAATTCTGTATTTATTTTAACACTTTTTAACATAGACTATATTGCTATCAAACATTATTTGCGATAATACTTTAATTCATTGAGACTTAAGCTTTTTAAGTTAATCTTAACTATTAGTGTCCAATGTGAATGTAGTCCACACCATCAA